AGCAAAGGGTCTGAATACTTATGACCATGTGATATTTCAGTTTTTCTTTTTTAATAAATCTGCAAAAATGTCAAAACTTCTGTGTTTTTCTGTCAATATGGGGTGCTGTGTGTACATTAATGAGGAAAAAAATGAACTTAAATGATTTTAGCATATGGCTGCAATATAACAAAGAGTGAAAAATTTAAGGGGGTCTGAATACTTTCCGTACCCACTGTATGTTATAAGGCAGGGACTAAAAATAACAGACACGTAAAATGATGTTAGATTTCAGCTTTACTTTAAGTAATTTCTACAATACAACAAAACTCACAGTGCACACACAAGGTGCGTCAGCGTCACCTTTGCAAGGCTGTACAACAACAGTGGTACCAGCAGATGTCACCCACGTACTCAATGAATGAAGCTTCAGTAGTGATCCAGTTATCAATACAATAGTCTAAAAGGGTTCAAAGCTTCATGGAGCCTCCTGTGGCCATCACTACTAGTCAGCAAACAAAACAGGAGTCGTTTACAGAGCCACAGGAACAATAGGAGCAAGCAAGGTGTGATAAGCAGATGAACCAGCAACTGACTGAGGGAAGTAGGGAGAAAGAAAGGCTTGAGACATCTAGACATTAGACAACAGCTGAAGCTAATCTAGTCTAATCTAATCTACAGCCCCTGACTACTTCTTTTCATAGAGACCAGTGTACAGTATTTCTCATTTTCAACCATTTTAACAAAGATTCAAATAAACTGTAATCTTTTAAAAAGTACAAATGGAAGTTAAAAGTTTAATCTACAGCAGGTGTTGTGGAAAAATTATCTTGTTAAAGCTCAGTGAGTGTGAGGTCTTAAAATTGGCTCACATGACCAACTTCTTTGTCACACAGTGACGATATAGGCCTGTTATTCCAAAAATATCATGTACTGTAGCTACATAGTCCCTTATTGACAAGATAATGTCAAGCCAAATTACACAATCATATAATTAAATGAAAAGATATAGTAGGCCACAGGTTATACAGATACAGTTGTATCAGTTTCCCCTTGCCTTCTTTCTGTTTTACATGAATAGTTAAAAAAGGGACTGAAATGGCATCTTGGCATAACCTGCATTCAGTGAAGCCTGAGGTTAGGCAAAAGAAGTGAAAGTGCAGGCTTAGCTAAACCAAACTTATTTTTGAGGAAAGGAAACCAATGTAATCCCCTGCTGACACCCCGACACTGTGAGTGGGTGTTGGTGGTTTAACATCTGGTGTGTAGCTCACCAGCCTGAAACTCACAAATGTCATGCAGCTTGTTTCTAATGCCAGGTTCTACATCTATCCACCCATTTTCTTCATATCTTTGCAGAACAGCAGCAATAGCAAAAAGCAACAACAAAAAGTAAAAGACAACTTGAAAATGAAGTGAAAATGCCATTATTAATTTACAGTAAATGTAACCCTTAAATGTCCCATTGATCTCCACCATGATTTTGTGTCATGACAGCCATTTAACCCATTTGACCCATTCCAGCATTTAAAAGTGAGTAGATCTCAGCCTATTTATAGATGACACCCAGGTCTACCTACTGAGGTGTTCTCACCAAATGACCATGGTCCTATAGGCTCATTGTGTCTTTGCCTTGATAAAGTAAATAGCTGGATACAATTAAACTTCCTTCAACTACATAAACACTAAACTAATTCTTTTTCAATAAATACAAAGACTGGCACTAAAAACTAACATCTGTGTCAAGAATCTTGGTGGAATCATTGATGAGGATTTATATTTCCGTGGCTACATCAAATCTATAACAAGATCTTTGTTGTAGCATCTTAAAAACGACTACAATGAAAAACTTTGACATCAGAGCAAGGTTTAGAAATTCCTCCTTTTATATCAGTAGGGTGGACTAGATTGCTATGTTACTTTAGATTGCTACCACTTTAAAACCTGGAGGTGTTTTGGTTTGTAACAATGTTTGTTTCACCAACTGGCTTAAACATTAAGACAGGATTAGAAAAGATTGACACACAGTTTCTTTGGTTTTATTATGTAGCTTTAGTGCAACTGCATAATATACATGTACAGCTGAACCCCAGTGTTCTGCATTGTTTGCAATTGTATTATGTAAACCACATTTTGATATTAATAAGCAGTTTAAAACCACCCTCAAAAGATCTGACTTTTTAAATCTACACAAATGTTGTCAGATGCTTTACTGAATACACAAAACACAAACACAGACAGACAAAGAACTTGAAGTGGTAGCGAGGATTGTTTTTTGTTTTGGAGGAAAGTTTTACTCCAGGTTTCTGTCATATTCCGTTTCAGCCATTTCACATTTTACAGTTTAAGCCTGCTCTTGCACAACAACAAAAGTTAGATGGGGTTTCCCTGTTAAACGTCATTTCTGTTGCTACATTTGCATTCGCTACAACTACAAACCTACAACCACAGAGTGTAGTCAGTGTTGTTTGTGTCTATAGGCAAAATAATGTGATCCTCTTGTAAAGGGGACTCTAAAAGCCCGAATGTCAGTGACAAACAAGTCTGAATTTTGGAAGTATACACTCCTGCAACACCTGAAAGGTTCATTGATGTTTTGGAAAACAATCTCTAGAGTATGACAAATCAGACATCTGCAACCAAAGCTTTGTTAACACAGCAAAGAGTCATTATGATTCAAAATCAACTGCTTTTCTTCGACTTCTCTCAATTCAAAGCTCATCTCAGAGATACAAGATCAATGTGTCAAAACAACCTCAAACACTAAAACAACAAACTATCACATTATAGGCATTCGGGCTTTTAGAGTCCCCTTTACAATAATAACATCCAATTATAGGCTCTATTTTTATTATAAAGCCTCTTCCGGCTCTTTCAAACCAGGAACTCACAAAGACGAAGTAGACCACTTAGATTTTATAAAAAATAACCGTG